GCATTTCTGCCAAACTGCTGACATTCACAAGAGATTCAAATCATCCTCCACTAATTATCACAGATCCTCGTGTTGTGATGTTAAACCCACTGCAATGTAAATGTTATAAATGCAGGAAGCTAATTGCTAAACCAACTGAAACCAAGCAGGGCATCCTAAATGTTTACCTCATCTTGATCTAAATAATCAAATTAATTAGTTTTAGTCAGAAGTGAGGTGGAAGAAAAAAATCATCTTTTTTGCAAAAAGTGAAAAAAACAAACTTAAATGAATTTTAGAGATTCATTAAAAACCATCCCAGTGGGAATCACAAAGACACTGGCTTTGTCGTCATGGCTTTGCTGAGTGATGGTGTAAGTCCTGTATCTGCTGGATGCGAGGCCTCGTTTTATCCGGAGCAGCTCGGCTCAATTAGTCACGGAGGAAGGTTTAGCGTGAGCGTCGTCGCTGTTAACACGATCCTGCATGTTTGCATACAAACTCAGCAACCAGAAAGAAAAAACAGACAACTTGGGATTGTCACTGTAGCTGTGCTTTAGGTGCACGCATGTTCTGCATGAAAGTTGTCGGGCTTCAAGAGTAATCCAACAGAAAGAGAACGGCGGCGGGAGGAAAGGTCTCCACAAAGTCGTATCAACAAAGCTGCAGAGACATTTGCAAGAAACTTCCCTTCAAATGCATCTGAATGCCTTTCATACCTTCACTTGGTAAACGTGCTGCCAATTACATTGTGTGCATGTCGCCAGGTGGGAAAGAAGCCAAGCCAGTCAAGCTATCAATCAAACGAGCAGGACTTTCAGAACATAACACCGCAAAAATATGTGTAATAATGAAAGGACGTGAGCTCAAACAAAGCCTTTATAGTCACTTAAACACATTTTAAATTGTATCTTGGCTGGAAAACATTAATTAACACGTCTGTCAGTGCGACCGGTTTAAGTTGGTGCAGCATGTCGTTGTCCACCTCACCGTACGCTGCATCGACACATGTTCAGAGTTTGGCACCAGGAGGCTGTTTCCTCTGCTGTAATCTAATCTGATAGCATGTACCTGCAGCAGGACTCGTGTTATCACGACTGTTCTGTAACCAGTCCTCATCGAACATCTCACACGTGTGTGATGGAGGAACATGAAGCACAAACACTGAGAATGAACCACCAGAGACGTGAGAGGAATCTGGTATCCAAGAGTTCAACTTCTGGAGAAAACAGAATGAAATGAATAAAATAAAATAAATGATACAAAAGAGCTTAATAGCATAAGTTAATAACTAGAATTAGACATCACAATTAAGGAATAATAATGTGCTTTACTATTTTTCTTTTCTTTTTGTTGTACGTTTGAAAATTCATGGATAAAAATAACAAACTTAATAAACATTTTAGGATTAAAAATATCATTTTGTTTAAAGAGTTTCTACATCCTGGTGTATTAACCATGACAGAAACATAAGACATGATTTGATGATCAGTGCTGTTTATTTGGCATAAACCTGACACTGGGTGGAGGTCTAATAAATCTGCTATGTACTGCATATATAGAGTTATTTTTTTCTTTTTCTTCGTGGCAATAAAAATTGCTAATTATGTTTTTGTTTTTTCAGTTCTCTGCATCAGTCTGTGGACCAAAGATTTAAAAAGCTGCTGCCTGTGAAATGTCA